AGAAAAACGACGTATGAGCCAAATGATGATGCCAAATTTATTCGAGTAAAATGTTTATAATTAGAGGCGGTATTATCATGGAGAAAGGTTGTGATCTCATCATGGATAGATCACCCAAGGTGGCATCTAGTCCATAAACAGTAGAACTCCTAGGGGGTAAAATTACTCGGAATAATGCCGGAATCACACGCTGAATTTGGCGGCTGAATATGGAAATCAACGGCTGAAATTACGCAAATTCGAGTTAATTTCATCCAGATGTGTATCAAATCCACTCGTACAGTTCACACAAATCAGATATTACCCGATGGTCGCTGAGAATCGTTGCTGAAAAATTCAGGCATCGGGGCGATGACTTCCACATTCAGCGTGTGATTCCGGCATGATTTTCTTCCCTCAATAGTGAGAGTCTCTGCGTGATGCAGATGCAGAGACATGACGTCACCTTGGCTGATTGATCTATAATCACAATCAGAGTCTGAAAGATCCGTTGTTTGGAAAACAAATTTTTTTTACTCGAAATTAATACCTACGCATTTTGGACGGCTGAAGTCGAAAAATTCGTAACTCAATTTTAGATATATGTCTCGGCCTCGGCTGGTGTTTAGTTTTTCAATAAAAACCAAGCAACAGTTCAGATTGAAATTGAAGACCTTTCCGGGAAAAAGACCTTTACCTATCGAAAAATCGCATTAGGCAAAAATGCATGTGATGGCAATGACGGTGAAACACATCAAAAATTGAAGTCCAAGCTGAAGTTAAAGTCGACGTCATCGTCAGTGGTTAGGATGTAATGGACCACTAGACAAGGTACGAATTTCAGCATTCTGATACATGTTTCTTAACTAAAATTTCACGTAAAACACGATACGCACAACGAAAATTACCGAAATAAACTCCTTACGAAGATATTTAACGATTCTTGATGCGTGAATTCAAACCACCCGCTCATGAAAACTCAATGATCTGCGTGATTCACATCGCGCGCTAAACGTTATCATGACAGTCTCTTGCAGTATAAAAATCCGGCAACCTCAATCTTGACGCTTTAGCTCAGCTATAGCAAATTGCTTATAGTTTGAACAACACATGGAAGGAAATGAACATTGCTCGATTGAGAGGCTTGCTGAAACCGTTGTAGTGCTCGATTTGACTCACGTAGAGCTTTGAGTTTCTCGTGAGCGGGCAGTTCAAAATCCGCGTAACCAATGTGAAATAAGAAGGTAAATATCTTCGTTAGGAGTTGGTTTCAGTAATTTTCGTTGCGTGAATCGTGTTCTACGTGAAATTCTGATTAAGAAACATGTATCAGAATGCTTGAATTCGT